ACCGCGGGCCCGCCGCGGCCTACAGCCGCCAGCGCGGGAGGCCTCAGCTCCCGCCTCATGGGCAGCGAGCCCAACTTCTCACTTCGCAGCTCCGAAGGGGGTTGGTTGCGTTTTAAATATTACTCTGCCATAAATAACATTCAGGCAAGCGCTGTCCAACGCATCTTGGGGAAGGGGTAAGCCCAACAGTAACTGCAACACCCTTTCAGCAGATGACACGAGCACAATTACCCATTTATTGAGGGGGAACTGGACAAATAAGTTAAAAACAAACATTTGTATGTTCTTTCCGGCCTGCTGACCTCCACAGCAGAAAGCTGACAAAGAATATCATCACACACGCTTCTGCTTCTACGAGAGAACCACACTGTAAGTATCCTCTGCAGCTTCCACTGGCTACTACTTCATCTCAAGATGTGGCTACATGTACCGCACTAAATCAGCAGAAACTGCCGTTTTCTGACATAGCTTCTTGAAGAACCCAGTTTCTTCTCTTTTCTACAATATTCTATCACTACTTTCCCAGGCAATCCAATCACTCCATCACATCCAGTTCTGCAGAAAACAGGCTTTTTTAGTGAAGGGTTCTAAGCTTCAAAGTTACTTTCCTTCCTGTGACTCTGAGGAAGGCAAAAATTTCTTAGACACCTTCCAAAAGGACAATTACACTAGCAGCAGAGCACAGATGCATAAAAACCCAACAAGGGACGTGATGGATTTGTAATGAGCCAGGAAAAGTGCATGCTTTGAGTCAGGCAAAGGAGACTTTGAAACATCTTACCTGTACTTGGCTATTTTTATTATATTATGAACAGATTTCCCAAAGGCTACACCAAAAAATATTCTGGAATCCATTAAAAGCAAAAACTAACAGAATACAAAACCAGCACCAGGTTTGTTGACACAGTGTACAGCCCTACAACCATGACAGCTTAAAAGCTTAGTACACACAAAACACAAAACCAGAGTTTCTTAGAAGTACACATTTATTGTTCACTTTGAAGTAATTTGGTTCCTGACTGAACCACTGAAAGTCCTAATGCACCTGCAAACTGAGTATCACTATAAAACAACTTAAAATGCCATGTAAAATAATATTATGTATGAATGTGTTTCATTTCATGGTTCCTCGGCATAATCACTTTGTCTATTTACAAATATATAAAGATTTTGCACTTTAAGTCACCTGAAATATCAAAGAGGTATTTTCCAATCACACAATAAATATAGAACCTGTTCTGTTAAAAATCTACAGTACACTGTACATTCAAGTTGAGGCAAAAGAATTTTTAATGCCAGTTACACTTGAGACATAAATGAATGTTGCCAATAATTAAACGTTTTCTGAAAGTGCTATCCTCTGCCTGTGATGAACAGTAACATTAGGAGCCAATATTTTGTTACAGTCAGTGGTTCAGACCACTGCTTCATTCACAGAATCAGAGCTTCCGTTACTAGAAAAATATCAAAGCTTTTATATATATTTAAATTACCTTCTTTCAAGAGTTGCAAGAGGCAATAATGGTCTAAAATAAAAGCCATGTGCACGCACATACACACACACACACCACAATTCAGATCACCACATAATTCTCTAGAAGAATGATCACACGCACAGCATTCTGTTTCACTTCAGAACGGTAACTTCATGAACAATAACAAAAACCCCAGCAGGCAACCCTAGGAAGTCTAAGGCAGTTGCTCTATGTGCAAGGTTCTACATAGCAGAGTGCCAGCTCCAGGGGCTCCCCTGACTGTGTGCTTTACTCTGTTTCTTCTTTGTCACTTTCCACCCACTGATTTGGGTTGCTCTCTCCAGCAGGTTTTATTGACACAGCACTGGAACTGGGAAAAAGAGAACATTACAATGCAAATAAATTAAGCTTTTGCTAGAAACACAGTACTTTATGATATGCTGGTTGTTACACAGCAGCCATAAGCCTTAGCTCAGGCTTTGCGTAACATCACAATTTACTCTGTGCTCTATCTACACAGAGTCTAGCACCATAAAAATAACCATTTGCAACATCATTTCAGATACCTGTTACAAGTAATATAGTGAGATGCCTGGCAAGCTTCTGCTGGAACAGGATCACTGAACACACAGCGAGGTTTTCTTTGAGATGTAGATTTCACCAATCGATTGCCTTGGTCAGAACCTAAGAGATACAGATATCCTCAGCCAAACCACAGTGCCATCTGAAGGACCAGCTGCTTTATGACTTCTGCTTTTAAAAAAAACCTCCCACACACCCCAGACATCTTACAGTATGCCTATAATAATAAACCTTGCTGTAGTAAAATTGTGTAACTACACTTCATGCCACTGAAGTTATGTTAAAATTGGGATTTGAAAGCAAAGCATTTACATACACAACCACGCCTACAAGTAGTCATGTTGAAGGCAAATTTGAAGCCACTCAAACGTAAAGTTTGTCACTTTAACAACTGATAAAGCTTTTCTACTCCTTAAGTAAAGGCTTCTCCAGCATACATCATATAGCAATTAACACCAACATGAGAACTTGCGAACTTAACAGAGTATAGAAAAAAAGTTAAAAGCAGTAATTTAAATACCTTAGCATTTATACAAACTTAATCACTAAAGTCAATGGAAAGCCATTGCTAAACGTGGCAGGGCCAGGTCAATCCCCTCTAACTCCTCCTCACATTTAGATTTCAAAGCTTTCATAAGAAGTGGGAAGAAGAAAAAAAAAAAAAAGGATTCTGTATTCTACAGTATTCATCACAGCACTACAGAATTAAGAGCTTTTGGACAAATATTGTCAAAAAATTAAATTAATACAATTCTAATGATAAGCTGTGGAGTAGTATCTAAATGGAGCATGATTCTCTGTGTGGCAGGCATTTTTGGTTTTATCACTATTATATTTCCCCAATCTTAAGCTACTAGATAAAACTGAAGAATGCCATTTAGAAAAGGAAAAATATAGCATTAAGTACACCCATAAACACGTGAATTTTGGAAAAAGGCAATTACAAATTGAAAGCTTTAGTGTACAATGATTGTTAAACAGACATCAAGCTGCTCACAGATCACTAGATCAAGTCACTCTTCACGAACAGCCAACCAACCTTACTCACAGAGCCTACAGAAGCACTGCAGGAATTGCACAAACAAGGAGAACCCAGAACACAAGGCAAGCTACTTATCTAACAAGAATACCAATTCAAGCTATCTTTACTTGCCAGGTGTTTCACACATTTATCTTTAAATGTTGGCTGCCACAACAAGAATCTATTTAACAGAGATAGAGACTGTTGTTACATTTTCCTCCCCAACCCCTTTTTTGTCTCCACCCACCCCTTATTGAAGGCTCAGTGGTAAAGACCCAACACTGCATATGCATATTCAGGCATGAGAGAGTGGGAAATAAACTTACCAACTTCAAAGAAAAAAAAGAGTAGAAGTAAAAAAAAAATTCAATAAAAGCAATATCACAAGATGTATGTTATACGTCCATATTTTCATTATCTTTTGTGAAGAAATTACTCCTTTATGAGGATTTGAATCTTAAAATGTGTTTATTGCTCAAATTTATTTTTGTTATCATTGTGCTCTTTTCACTATTTCTTCTTCCAAATGATTTTTTTTTAAACACAGAACATGTGCATGCATGTTCAATATTACCTCATCAAATAATTAATGCTGCCATCTCCACATTATAATGCTAGTTTCCAGAACTTGTTTCTAATCCATACAGATCTCTACAGGTCATGATTTCTTCAACTGCCTTGGCAATTAATATGCTCACATTAAATTCCATTTAGTAATTCTAAAAGTTCCCCAATCACTTCACAAATATCAACGCATTACCTGAGTGATTATCAGGGAGGGAGTTATCACGAGGCCCTTTTAAAAAGGGGATTTTGAACCATTATTACCCTGACACTTAGAGGCATACAGACACATGGTAAAATTTGTCTTGGGAAGCTTTGGGTTTTTAATAGTTTCGTTCATATTTGCACCTTCTAGCTGAAAGGGCGGGGAGTGGGGGAGAAGAAACATACTACAAGAACGTAATTTGAACCAAATACTTGCTTTCTAAGAAGGCACTTGGAGTTGTCACATTTTCAGAGTGCTTGTAATCGGTAGACATACTTAAGAACTGTTGCTTCAGCCACACTCCTCGATCTTCTTCAAATGCCTTTCTCTAGGAAAAGAAATGACAGTTGACACGACCACAGGAACAAGTCCAGTCTGCATTAAATTGATATTGTTCTAAGAAAGCAGAAGCCCATGTAATTAAGGGCAGCCAGCAGTACAGCGCTTAGAATTAGTGTCATGTGAGCAAGCTTTTGAATCCAACAGGGATTAGCTGAGGGGGTACTTATTTACAAGCAAACCCCATGGTTTGTTCCACAGAGGTCCGACTAATCCTTTCATTTTACTGTTCTCCACACCAGTGACACCATCTCCTATCACTGCCTCCCTCCCCCTCAGTGCAGCACTACCTCTTGGAGGTAACCCTTATTTCTGGGCAGCTGCCAGTAAGGATTACTGCATAAACCTCAGCCCTGAGCCTTCTCCGAAACAGATAAAAGTGACATTGAAAACAGCACTGATTACTTCCATCCAAAACTGGGGCAGAAAAGGGTCGTTGCATTTTCCAATCACTGAGCACAGAAAAGGGTTTTTCTAACAACCTCCAAAAGATCCAACCGTGGAATCAAGCAGCTCTAGAAACCAGTGAAACAGGACATCCCCATTATATAAAATTATTTCTATGTCAGTAGAAAATAGCAAGCTGAACGCCAATACAAACTCCTAAGGCTTACAGCACTGCTGCTCTTTTCACACTGAAGTATGTGAACAAGCAGAAGCATGGGTAGTTACACTCATGTTGCAAAGGAGTCCTAAACAGTTCTGGACAAACAATTATCATTTAATACCACTCAAGACTTTTAAAGCTGAATTCAAGGTCCAACATGAAATTCATGAAGTTGTTAAAATGCAAATGAAATTAAGAGAAAAAAGTGGAATAATACACAGCTGTATGTAGCAGGTCTGAGTCAATACCTTAACTACTGGTGTGCCAGTATCTCAAATAAATTCTGAAGTATTTTATGGTCTTTGCAATAATTTTTACATTGTAAGAATAAAATAAAAGCTGTCTTGAGTCGCACAAGTTGACCATCTAGCTCAGTATTCTGACACTGGCCGCAGGAGATGGTATTTATGAGATCACATGAACCTGGCCACTTTCCACAGTGCATTCCTTCAGAGCTTCCCAGCCCCAAAAGTCATTTGATTAGAGGTGCTGGAAGACATCCCCTTGTCCCCCTCCCTTTTAATATGTGGATGGGTTGTTCATGAGCTTAGGCAACTGCTTCTTGAACCAGCTGGCACTGACTGCCTTCACAATCTCCCACAGCACCAAAATCCAGATGTCAACTAATTGATATATAAAACTATACCTTTTTTAGACTTAATTTCAAGCAGTTTCTATAAATTCCCTTCAGTCCTAATCCTGAGAGATTTGGTGAACAAAAGCATTGCTTTTGTCTGATTAACTGAATCCACAGCAATAAAAGTTTTAATCATACCCCACTTCAACTTTCTCCTCTGTGTCACAGCAATCAGTCCTGTAAGCAATAAATCTGAAGTCCATCTCCTTCTTCCTGCAATGGCTTTTTTCCTGTCATATCTGTATCATCAGTTTCATGACCACATCGTCGTCATCTCCTTTCCTTGCTAACTTGTAGGCCCCTTCACGTTCTTTGCCCTAGCTTGCCAAAGGGCATACATGCTAGAGCTCATTTAGAGACACAGCTACTCTGACTGCCTTCCAGTATGTGTGCTTACCAAGCCAGCTTAACTACAAGAGCAGGTCAGATAACAACCCTATGAAAGGAAAGGCAGCAATTACTTTGCATTTCTGCAATAGTCACAAGCTTTCACAAAAGGTTAGGAATCAAGTGCCTTTGAGAACTCAACCCTGAAGCCAACTCTGAAATTTGCACAGACTTGGTTTCGTAGGAGACCAAACTTAAGAAGCATCTCAAAGGATTTAGTGCATAAGAGGAGTGACTTTTGGAAGTACTCATGTATTTCAGAAGTTAAAGCAAAAGGGTCATTCCAGTTGCAGCAACTGTGTTTTCCAATACACAGTTGCTTGATCTTTTGAGATGCCAACAGAATCATCTCCTACAATGACCAAAGGCATGTTTTACACCATATGGGAATAATCTTCATATATCAGCAAACAGATATTGTTGGATGGCTGCACTTTAGTGTGTATAAGAGTAAGAGCACTTGACAATTGTAACTCATCTTCCATAGCAGTTCCCTCTTCTAATACCTCAAGTCCTAATCGAATAGCAGCTTCTGTAAAACTTTTTCGTTCCTTCTCAAAATTCTTTTTTTGTTCTTGAAATAGTCTCCATTCTTCCTGGAGACGCTCTCTTTCTTCCAGCAAATAGCAGTCCTGTAGTAGCAGAGTGGTGTCATCGTCACATGGAGACATAAGCTGCTGCTGCAGATAAAAAACCAACAAGAGACAGACATTAGCTTGGCAGTGACTGTCAAGAGGTGCAGTTCCTTCCACAGGTTCAGTTTTGGCAGAAAAATGGTTGAAACTCAATATGGAAACAATGTAGTATGAAGTTGGTGGCTGTTTGGGGCAGAGTGTCAGATGGCAAGCAGAACCTCCCTGTTCAGGCAGCTGACCTCAGCCGCCTTCCTCACCTTTGTTTATCTCCCAAATTATTCCTACCGGGATTACAAGATCATTAAGTTACTAACCAATCCAGCAGCATACCTATGCTCAAACCAATTGCCAAGGTATTTTATTTAAAAAGCGTAAAAGAATAGAGAAAGGCTCAGAGGTGAGAAGAGTGGCACATTTAAAAAAAAAAAAAAAAAACAACCACACAGAAACAAAACCAAAAAACCTTAGATTAGTTTGAGAAAAATAAGAAAATTAAAGCCTACTACCTGTAAGAGCTGTTGCTGAGTTTTGATAATTTCTTTACATTGCTGAATCTCTAACTCTAGCTTTTCAGTTTCCAGCTCATGGTCTTCTCTTGAAATTACATCTTTTTCATTCAAAGTTCCTGAATGTACACGTGACACTAAAGGGGGGAAAAAGATCCTTAAACAAAACAAGAAAATCCTTCACATCAGGGACACAGCAATAGCAAAAGGTTTCAAACTATTTGTTTCACCCTGACAGGCAGATACACAAGTGTATTCAAAAGCACTTCTATCAGAGACAAGAGATCCAGAACTGGAGCTACTCATGTAGCTAAGCAAAAAATCCAGTTCAGGAAAAGTGGCAATGAAGACATAGCTGTTGCACATTCCCCAAGGTAAACCAGGCGCCTGCACCACAATAAAAGCCTCACAAAACCCTCACTTGTTCCAGCAGTTATTTAGAAGAAAAATAGAGACAACCGAAGACTTCTTTTCACTGATGTGCTGTTAGCCTGTTCTTCTGAGACCATTTTTGAAGAGCTTGTGTGTTCATAAAAATATGACAGTAACTATATTTATCACAGATATAAAAAGAAAACCTTTTCCTTCAAGTCCTGTGAGGGAAACACAGAGCTAAATCACTGTGTGCACATTTTCATTCTGATAAGGGAATGAACTAGGGAGAAATAAAATGTATTTTTTATAATTACATACTGCTTTATTTAATTTCATGCATAGCTATCACAGTAATTGCTATAAGCCAAGTTTTGATCCCCTGATGCCAGTGTTTGAAAATTAATTGCATCCTAAAAAAACTAGACTATGGTCATCTCTGTAAATCCAAAAACGAATAAGGAGACTTCAAGAAAAAAAGAGCAAATACTTGGAGCAAATCAAGTCCTACTCGGAACAAGTGTTCTTGAAATCCTTTCTATGGTATAAACATTCTCACAGACCATCTGCTCTTTTATTTGCAATTGCATGCGTGACCTTCTCAGTCTTATTCTGAACTGCACACATCCCTGTGGTCGCAGCAGCATTTGCTTGCATGGGAAAATAATACTAGGAAAGAATTTTGTGTATTTTTAGCCATCTTTTAATGCTGTTTAACAGCTGGAAATGAGGAGTCCAGCACCATACCATCAGCCAGTTTGCTTTAGAACACCACAAGAAGCCTGAGAGATGTGGCAATCCTAGAATCTCAACTTATTCTTTACATATTTAGCATCCAATTACTTCAGATTGCTACATCTGCATTACCTGAACATCTCAGAGTGTGAGGAAAGGCAGCAAATATTACTCCAGAGCACCTACTTTCAAATGAAGGATAATTATTTCTTCAGAAAGTTGCTGTTTACTGTGTTAAAATATAATTGTGTCCTTTCTCATGATAACAGGCTTGGTACACAATTGCTTCCCTAGCTACCTAAAATTAAAACTCACAGAGAAAAATGCCAATCACAAGCCCTTTCAGAAAGTCTACCAAGTCAGAATTCATTATACAGTCAGTAAAGCAAATCCTAAGAGCATGATACCAAATGGAATTATCAGTAACATTTTATATGTACACGTAATAAACATCACCTTGGTTATCCAGCTTTTCAACATGATGTTTCAACATTCTCCATTGTTTCCTAATGCTGTTGGTAAGCTGCTCCCGCACAGTTTCACAAGACAGTTCCCACATATTCTCTTTATTTAACTCTCCAATATCGTCCTCCAGGTCTGACAGCACCTGTAGAAGCAGAAACAAGAAGCTGAAAACCACTCCAAATACAGGTATTTGATTATTTAAATATGTAAATGGATGTTATTTATTGAAGACAAGGAAAACCTTTATATACAGGAAATATTTTCCATCCAGGGAAATTTGACTGGCAGGCAGTTCAGTTCCCTGACAGTATAATGCCGAAGAGGCAGAAGTGACGTGGCAGCCCCCAGAGTGAGCGTCTCAGCTAGCAACACTCACTTGCTCTCATACCTAGCTTGAAGACGTAAGTTCAGACTGCTGAAGTTCTGCTGCTAAACTTCAGCAGTAGCTGGCCTTCAACTCAATACACAGCATGAACAGGATTTAAGGCAAAGATTTTCTCCTGTTGAGAATCAAGTAATTTGTCTTTGTTTTTCTCCATGATAAAAGAAACACCACACCACACTGACGATAGAGCGGCACTAGCCCTGCCTCGGGGTGGGTGCATCCCCTTGGGGGTGTTGGTTGGTAGGAGAGATTTAGGTCACTTCATGAAGAAACATTCCTTTACTTACAGATCTGACACAATGAAAGCCCCCTCCGGAGAGGGCCTCTGGATAGTACTGTGATAATATGACAGTCTGCCTGGTTTCATGGCTGTTACTTTGTGATGGGTTGCAAAATGATAAACAATGCTACTACATCACTAGCTGCCACATTCCAAGGTGTACGTTTCCTTTTAACAATCAATATAAATTAGCATTTCTAAATGGCAGTGCAATGTTTGGGGTTTTTTTATTCTGCAAGGGATTCAGTAAGAGTTCAAATTTCATAACAAAGTGTTCAATGAGTTAAACAAGTATGAACTATCAGATGCAAACGTTCTAATTAGAAATTTGTTTTCAGACATTCACAAAGTAAGCCAGTACTTCTAACCAAAACACCTAATCTATACATACTGTGGGATAGATGAAGTCTTAAATACATAACTTATTTCTGCAAAACCATAGTTTTTGGCAACATTCTTCCTGTTAGCATTAACTTCCCAAGTATCATAAAACTAAGCAGTGTCCCTATCACAACAAAAACTATCCCCAAATCTAGGGCGGCATGAAAAAGATTGAATGGAAAAAAAAAAAAAACCCACACACACTCCAAAAGAACTACCCAAACAAACCAAAAACCCCACACCACCCTACAACCCTGAGAAATAAATCCACTTGAGACTTTGCATCTATTAAGTACTTCTGTTATTATTCTACTATTAGAAATTACTATTGTCTAGTAAGCAGCTGTTCTGCTTAATTTGGTCAATTAGCACTGTAAGAAGTAATCAGATGCTTCAGTTCAGGCTTTTATATTTTCTTAGTAGTCAATTAATGCTGCAACAGTTAAATACTTGTTTCATCACCCAAGAGTGGTGAATTTCAGTGCACTAAGTCCCTATTTTTCCCTCAAGTTTGTTTCAATGCACAATTCATAGAGACCCTGTTCCCACAGCTGGATTTTCACCAGTGTGCTTGAGCTTGTGCCAAACACTCCTGGCCTCACTGGAAACCTAAAAGCAAAAGGACCAGTTATGGAACTGGTACTCGATTATGCTTTATACTATAAGTTATACCCAATACCTATTACAGAAGATCAATTTCTTGTTGCTGAGCTGTAGTACTTACATCTACTGATTTCCTACATGATGAACTTTTAGGGTAAGCTAAGCACACTGCACGTTACTGACTACTTGACTAAATACACATGGCAGTCATGCTGTGTGGTACAAGGGAAAGTCATCTGGTGAAGTTAAAGAGTTTATTCACATCCTACAGTTGAAGGGGGCAGATAGAGTCTAGTGTTTTTCTACTCAGCACATTCTGGGGCTGGAAAATGCACCCGAGGTGGCTCGGAAATAAAGGATGTAGTACAGCAACTTGAGCAGAAGAGGGGACTTTGGAATCTAGCGCTTGCCATTTCACACAGAAACAGCATGCTCTGGAAGTCTCCATCTACACATTCTTGCGTACCAACACACACTATTTACCGTTACATACTTTGTTCTACAGAGTATCCATACTCCCATAATACCCTGTCTCTAGTAAACCATCCATCTTTAACTATTCCTAGAATCCAGCCTTTATGCATGTTTTCTGTATTTCAACTCTTATGCCCAGGAATACTTTTTCTCCTCTCACTAAGAGAAAGCTCAATTAACCTTCACAGAACTGCAGCCTCTAGCAAGGAATCAACAAAAGGAATACGCAATGAATGTGCAAGTGTACTGTTCCATTAAAAAAAAAAAAAAAATCCATCTTCTGTAAACGCAGAAATACTTAAATCCTGGAAACAAGAAAATTCCAACGAACAATTTTACTTGGAAATCAAACATTTTCCTTGAACTTACTCGTACCTCTGTAAAAGGAGCCAACAGCTACTCTAATCCCTCTACTATGGGAGCATACCCTAATTATACTTCCTCCACCCCACGGATTCTATAGGAAGCCTGGTTTCTTTGCATGAGCACCTTGAAAGCTAGCACCAACATCTTAGGATAGAAGGCAGACAAAATCCAAAATGTACCCTTATCTAGGATTACATTACAGGTACCTACTTGCATTTAAAATTCATTCCAAGTATATTTCCAAGTTTTCCATTGACAGACTGGGAAGAATACACTGCGTACTGTTCACAGACAGTAGGACATTTAAACACGGATGGGTCTCAAGCACAGCACGCTATGTGCAGTCCACTGCAAGTTCCACAAGAGGTTTCCTTTTTTTTCCTTAAGGATCAAATTACTCCAGCACTGTAAAAAACTTCCACACGGATTTAATTTTAACTGAAGAATACTTACTGGTCCATCTTCAGACCCTTCTTTAGGTTTCTGTTTCTGTGGTGGGAGAAGTGAAATAATCTCTTTCTTCATTTGCTGAAGAACTTTTTTCAGCTCAGCATTTTCCACTAAAAGCTGTTTTTGGCATTGTTCATAATCACTTAGCAGAGCTTTGTACATTTCTTCTTCATTTCTGGAAGAGGAAATCTAACAGTAACAATGTAACAGCCATAATATATGCTTCAATTAATGTTGTACAGACAACTACCTGGCTTCTGTCTTATTGGTTCTCCATGCACCCCTCTTCCCATCAGCTCGACCAACGTAATTTAGAACGTCCATAGCTACAAGCGAAAAGGATATTTCGAAGTGTGAAACATGAAAATATATAAATAGCCAGATGACACTGCATTGACATGCATTAACATTTATTATTGTGAAGAGACCACATTTCCCAATCAGCTACCTCAAACCTGTATGAAACCACATTACCCTGCTTAACATTTACAACCTTAGCTATGTTTACTGTGTTACTATAATCAAGAAAATAACATAATTTTTGTGCTTGGAAACCGAGAGGGACCTATTCTCATCCTGTCTCATCTTTTTTATGCATTTCTTAATGGCACCTTCATCCCTATTTCAGCCTTTAAATTAATGGTGTATAAACTCTACCCTCTCTTCTGCCAGTTTTATCTTCAGTTAGAGTAAGCAACTCCATGGTGTTTCACAAGGTGTTCCTCAAAAAAAGGAAACTTCTCTGTCTACATTTGAAGAAATAAACCACCCCAACAAAAAAAAAAGACAACCTATCACTACAGGTTAGTGGTCCAAGTTCAATTCTACTTAGCTGTCAAGCAAACAGCAACTAGATTAAAAACCCTGTCATTTTAACCTCACTCTAACTTCTAGAGTCAAGAAGGTACCACAAGTTTTGCTGACCTTGTGAGGCTTGCAGAAATTACTGGGCTGATGATATCTAAAGACTTTCTGCAGCCAAAATAGGTGTTCCGGCTACAGTGTCCTAACCTGGTTTGGCAGTTTCAGAAGACTAAATGAGCAGAAAAGCAACTTGGCAACAACATCAATAATTTTCTTCTGGTTTAGTGAACTAAACCAGCTGACTAAAATACAGTATGCACTACAGCTAGCGAAGAGCTGTGTTTCAGGGGTGGCAGGAGGGATAAGAGAAGAGCAGAACTTCCATTTCCACTGGAGAATAATTACATAAATACTTTAAAGGCCACATATATGAACCAAAAGGTGCAGATATTTTTAATCAATCACAGCACACTGGTACCTATTTTGAGCAACACACCACTAAGACTACTCATGCCAAGTAGCACTGATGAACATTTTGAACACAATTTTTGGGCAGCACAACACATGAGTACCCACATGATGAAAGAGATTTCTCCTCATTTTACATAGTACTAGATGCTATGTCTATCTTGTGTTAACAATAAGCGATAAGGAAATTTTAAGGAGGAAGAAATACAAGTAGACTGTAGCATCTCAAGGCAAAAAAAGCTCATGCAGCGTTCCTTTCTGACAAACTGGTGGGCATAATAGTGTTTATGACACTACTCAAAGTCTTGTGATGGTAGCAATATCAAGAAAGACAGAGCTCTAGCCTAGGAATTAATTCCAAGTAATTCTTTTTAGTAAAAAACTCACTCTGAAGATCTCCACCTTGATTTGTGCTTGGTAAACAATCTTACAGAACACAACATAAATGCTTATTAGCCTTAGAGAGTCAATTGACATGAAATTACATCTCATAAAAGATTGACTCCTAAATAAAAATCTACGAGAGGAGGGCCATATTGACCTTAAAAGATATCCAGAACCTAATTTAAACATTAACATACAGAATATGCTATTTTGCTGTAGTAATATTAACAGTGCTACTTACCTATCTTTTTGTCCTTTTTGTTCATGACTAACTGATGTAAGCGTTCCTTTAACTTGTTATATTCTCTCTCTTTCCTCTTCATATCATGATTGTACTGTGTAGCTCTGCTTGAAATGATGTTCTGCAACTTCTGTACCTAAAAGCAACCCCACAAAAACTGTATTTCTTTAACTGAAGCAGAAAACGCAAGCTTCTTAAGAAAACCAAAACAAATACACAAAGCAAAGTGACACTGCATTTCTGCTGGAAGGAAGTGACAGAAGGAGTCAGGAGAACTGTCCCAACCCATAGATTAGATCTCAGACTTAGGGAATTTAGTTCCTTTTCTGCAGTAGCCAACACCATAAGCAATATATATAGATATAAAGCAACATAATGCTTATAATACTATAGCTCCTCTGAATTACAACTCAGAGGTTATGTGAATTCCCAGCACATGAGTTAACACCTTCATTAAACATGCTGAACAGAGATGTATTTTTGGTTTGAGTAATTAATGTTCAGGATCTAGTTTAACTCTGAAGTATACTTGTTAGGTTTACACTAAAAAAAAAATAAAACTACTCTTCTTTCGGGCAGCAGGATGCTGAAAGACAGACTATTCCACATGGTCCAAAAGAACCTTAAAACATCATAAAGCACATTCTTGGCCTCTACTATCAATAGCTGGGGGGTTGTTTTGGTTTTTTTAAGTCATCTATGTTTTACCCTTAGAAACAGAGCACATTCAATATTCTAAGCTGCAACTTTAGGATGTTCACAGTATACATAGTACTGTGATTGCTAAAGGTATGAAAATGTTCATGAACAGAGAACACTCACAGAAACTTAAGAGCCATATAAACTACAGCAGTGGGGGAAAGAAGCAGACTAGAAACAGATCCTCAAGTATGCAGTGTCTTGGATTTCAAAGTGTTTTCTGATCCTGGTTCTTCTAAAGACCCCCAAGTCTAATGAGACTGCATTTGTGCTGGGTTCCCCCACACCTCCCTTCTTTTTGGTCTTTTGCACTCCTCCTCAATATAACAAAACCAAACAAAAACCCAAAGAAAGAAAAGCTCCTATACACGTTTGACACTGACTGAATCTGTTGCACCCTCCTACTTTATGTTTTTAAACATTCTAAGACAAAGCCATGCTCAGAAGTATAGAAAGCCTCATAAAACAGCAGGTATGTGTCCCTGCAGTACTCTCATTGTCATAACTTGGACCCAACTCTTACAGAACCTATTTATCCATATGTAATGTAGCAATTTCACTTTGGTGAAAGACAATGTTTACAAAAAAAGTGAACAATTACAAGACTCCTTCAAAAAAATCATATTATTGATTATCTATGATTTGTGTTAATGTACAAGACAACTCACTTCATCCTTTTCATTTTTAAGTAATTGATGCAAATTTCTGTTCTTGCTTTGCAGTTGTCTGTCTCTTTCCTGAAGTCCAACTATTTCCCTTCTAGATAATTCCAACTGCTCCTAGAAAAAGTGTTGATGGTTCAGTACCAGTAAGAATTAATTGCAAAGGATTTAAAAAAAAAAAAAAAACCCCACACACCACCAAAACTAAAACACAACATCCAAACTAAACTGCCAAACCACCTCACTTGAATTAAGTTAGCCTATGCATTTGATCACTGATCTTTTGGGGGTGATCTTGCATTCTCAGTGCCAAGTTAACTCTATTTTCTGGAGCAAGAAGCATGGTTCTCCAGTACAAGAAACAAGAATTTAGCTTGGTATTTAGCAGTTATTACCTTACACAGCTACTACTTTTTCATTAAGTCAGGATTCTGTAAGCGTACCCATACTGTGACAGTGAGGTGGATACTAAGCAACCTGCATGAATCTGGGACTACAGTATTCCTGGAATGCTTCTGTTAAATAATCAAGGGAGCAATTAACAGATATGCAGACTGTGGCCACAGCAAAGCAAGTGGGACATTTCACATATACAGAGTAAGGCTAAATGGATGATCTCATTACAGATTATGCAAAACTAGCCTTTTAGAAATTTGTCCACAAATGAGACTCAAACAAACCTGAAACTGACAAATGACTGATCCACACACTACATACAAGCTCTTTTTCTTCATATGCATATGAGCTACAAATATGTAGAGATATTTGAGCAATGAGAATTTCCAAGCAAGAGGTACATGGTATCTAGGAGAATTTGTCTGGGAAACCTTACAAGCTGACAGCTAAATTCAATCCCAGGGCATTTAAGTGCAGTGTTCTGGAACCTAACATTATGCAGTGTTTGCATAAAAACGCATGCAGTTACTCATGACTTCTAATGTCACATCAAAATCTCTCTACATGGATGACCAATCTCAGCAGAAGACTATGATTTTGAGAAGCTACAGCAGTATTTGTCAAGGAGATAGTGTGGGCCAGCCTTAGTGAAAAGCAAGCCTATAGGGCCCCAAATCATGCATCGAATTTTTTTTCCTTGACAGAATCAAGGGAAAACTCTAGTATGACTGTGCCACACAAGTACCCATGAAGTAGCATAGGCTGTGAACTCCCAATGCATCAGCTACGCCAATGACCGGCCTTCTGTATGTATTTATCCTGTGATAAAACAAAGCTTACTAACATCAGCTTTGACAACAAGCTTCTGAGCAATTCTTACAGAGAGACTGTGGGCAGCTATCTAAGGAATTCAACAACAAAGAAAATTCATGGAAAAAGCTACAGATATGGAGAAAGACTGATAATGCTGTGACACACACTAGAAATGCTACCTACACTTCTACTGGTCGCAGTTATATTGGAAATTTATCTTTTAGAGGTGGGCATATCCTTTCAAGTGATATGAACTGAAGTGTTTAACACTTTCACCCTCAGCATGCATTAATACTTCCAATCCAAACAGTCTTCCCTCTTCCTTGATTAAAGGGGCCATAATTCTTGATAAATTTTTAGTTCTCTCATTAATTCCTATTTTCTTAATTTTAAGGAATTTTCAACCAGAAAAGAAGACTTAAACCCCAAAAATGCAGATGAAAATACAATTGCAGATTAGTACTTGGGACAAAAACAAAAAAGCCCACACTGTTACAAATGTACAGTATCTGTTAAACATAAGTGCTGCATAAAAACGAATTATCTTGTCTACCTTTACTTTAGCGTAGCAGTTCTTTAAGTGATCCATATCGCTACCCAGTTTCAGATGCTGCATTTCTACTTCTTCCTGAGCTCGAAGGTTCTTGTGGTGCAGTACAAGTAATTCATTCATGCAATTTATGACAGAAATTAAATTTAATTCTTTTCCTTTGGACTCCGCATAAATAGAAGGAAAACCCAGTGTTGTCAATTCCTAGTAAAAGACAAGGGGGGAAATAAATAATTACATCAATCTCAATTCTCCAAATGAGAAAAACAGTATCAAGTGAAATCCTATCTGGGAAAGGGAGGGAGGAGGAATCCTCTTCCCCACCAATTCTGGCTTCTGAGCATTGAGAAAGAAGCTTCCTTAACCCAGTGAATCATGGAATCACAGAATCGTTTGGGTTGGAAGGGACCTTAAAGATCATCCAGTTCCAACCCCCCTGCCACGGGCAGGGACACCTTCCACTAGACCAGGTTGCTCAAAGCCTCATCCAGCCTGGTCTTGAACACATCCAGGGATGGGGCATCCACAGCTTCTGTGGGCAACCTGTTCCAGTGCCTCACCACCCTCTCTGGGAAGAACTTCTTCCTCATATCTAATCTAAACCTCCCCGCTTTCAATTTAAACCCATTACCCCTTGTCCTGTCACTACAGGCCCTTAACTTCACACAACTTCCAATAAGCAAGATCTGGCTTACCCTATTAAGATAGGATATACTCTGTTCAAAATTCTCTTCTGTGCAAAAGGCACTGAAAAAGCTGTGCATGCTTTTGGACGAAGGCAGTGGCAAGCATAGCACTTGTGAGTTCATTCTTGGGGAAGATAACCTTTTTTCTGAGGTATATTGAAAAATGTTTTTGCTATCTGGAAGTTAAAAACATAAGAAACAAGACAGGATTAATAGTTTAGAACACATTACATACCAAAAAAATGAAACCCCCAACTACTTAAACTATTATTTACAGACATTTATAAGTCTAGAGCTTAGAATTTCATCTAGAATGCCATATACTAAACAATTTGCAATGCAAAAAATACAGATAAACTTCCACTGAAGATTTAAAGACTTAATAACATTTTAAGCTATTATCTTTCAAGTTTTACTCCACTGCCAAGGAAAAAAGACCAACCTTCCCAACCTTTCTTCCTAATTAACTTGCTACAACACTTTTTTTTAGTACACAGGTGCAAAACCTATTCATTTAGTCAAAATTCTTATAGAATGTAGGATTTATATTTATTTATATTAAGCATATGGTGTAATTTACTATTCCATTAGGTAAAAAGCACACAAGCAAATATTTACTCCTTTAATAAATTTGTAACTGACTTATGAGGCAATAGAATTTAGAACAAGTAAAGAAACATCTGAAAACACAAGATATCACAAAAGATGTGATTAAAACAAGAGTGTGACTGAGAAGTCTTAGAACCTTTATATGTATGTGAAAGGCCCAGCATTTTACAGCAGCATTTCTGTAATGACTCAAGCTAAAGCAAAACACTATGTACTACACATTATTTAACATTCTGCTTAACTAGTCAAGCATATCATGGGGCAAGCTCCAATCTCTCTCTCTTTAGCAGCTATAACATCACTGGTAAAATCAGCAAATCCACTAAACGCAAATACCACCGGTTTACCTGATGACAGCACTGGCACAGTAATAGTCTTCCAATCTCCCATAGCAACAAAGATGGGTTTTTTTTTCAGCAGTGAAGTATTTAGTACAATTGCTGGCAGTGTGTGTTACGTAGGCATCTCCTAAAATAGCAAAAGCTTTTTAGATTAACAATAGCAGCTAATACAGCTAAAAGATTAAAGCAGGCATAGGAGAGTGACAATTGGACTTGAGCCACATGAAAATTTTCTAATTACACAGCAAGCGCAGCAAATATGTTGTAAAAATGATGCATCTATCCGCAGTTAAGTTTAAGGCTAACTAAATAAATCTTGTAAGCCATTAACTAAAGCTAAAATGCCATGCACGCATTAATGAAGACTCACACTGTAGATAACTCAGTTGTTTCTGTTGATACACAGCAAGCCAAACATAGAATATTTTCCTGCCATATAACCAGGTAGCAAATTTATTAAGATAAACTTAAGCAACGTTTTAACATAAATCTGTGAGTGGGATTATTACTTAAGGGATAAGTGGAAGGTGTCCCTGCCCATGGCAGGGGGGTTGGAACTAGATGGTCTTTAAGGTCCCTTCCAACCCAAACCATTCTGTGATTCTCTGATAAAGACTCTAGAGAAGATATATGTGTCTTTGAGCAACCTGGTCTAGTGGAAGGTGTCCCTGCCCATGGCAGGGGGGTTGGAACTAGATGATCTTTAAGGTCCCTTCCAACCCTAACCATTCTATGATTCTATATTGGCAAAGAGAGGGCAAAGGAACTTCTAATAAGTAATTAACCATTTAAATTTAACTTAACCTATGCATTTCGTTGTTTTACCTTTCCCTGGCAAGTTGCTTGCTTCTTTGAAGACTTTAAAACTGCTGAACAAATAGGAGAAGCCCTACTCTGTTGGCACAGCCACTCAGTATGGCACCAGTCCTCTGAAAAACAAAGGGAAGTCACACACTCTTAAGAAAGAGCCACCTGATTGTTCACTCTCCCCAGCTCTAGTGCTCACCAAGAAGGCACATAAATAGCGTTAGAGTTACCACACTGCTGGAAACTTCAAAGGCAGCTTGGATGCTTAAGACTGGGACAGACCAACCCATCAGCTGTTATGTGAACCATGATAGTTCAGGGAAATAAACTTCCCACCTGACAGGAAAAAAGGTCCCCTTTTTCAGTTAACACTGACTTGAGATTTTGTTCCAAAGTATTAGGTGGACTCTGTAGACTTTTAGAGCACAGGGATATTTTCCCCTAACTCTGGTTAATGTTCCAATAAGCACACTCTGGATAAGCAACTTCTAGATTTTTGACAACAAAACCTTGTATTTTTACCCCTGTGGAAAAAGTTATCATTGGGGGGAGGGGAAGAATGGAAAAGGAAAAAGGTATGCTCTGTTATCCATAAGGTCTCTTGAGAATAAAGACAGTAAGAATCCTCATCAACACTTCAAAGCACAGAACACAGCGCCCAAAGGAACACCAGTTTTTAAGAGACCATACTGGTGCACAGCCATGTCACAGAATGCTCAGCACCAGGAAACAGAACCTCCAGCTGGATGAGTATTTCTCCAGGTTTGTAAGTTTCCTTGAACAAAAGGTAAACTCTTATTCCTCAAATGAGCTGAAAGCTTGCAGAACTATTAAGTTACATATCAGAGAGTACATATAAGGCAGCAAGAAAACAGTCAGTGCAACGATCTAGTGGCTGGTTTTGTTTAAGAAATGGGTTTTTCTGCTTTCTCTCGGCCCATATTCATTTATGCACATTTTTCAATTCCCTAACCCCTGTAAAATCAAGATGTCCAGAAATGAAGGAAGTGAAGGTTCAGATTCTGAAGACAAGAACTGACTTCATGGCAGAAATCTGCAAGGCAACCTTTTTTTTTCCCATGCATCCCAAACCAACCATGCTTTATAAATGGAATTAAAAGTCAAACTAAGGAATAAGAGGACATACTTCTTATATGTTAGTTTCATTTCTGTTGAATCACAGAGAAACCCAAGGGCAAATCCTGCATTCTAACAAGGTATTTCAGAAGAATGTTAAGAAACTCAAGACACACAAATTCCATTAAGGACTGTTGGAAAGTCCATAGAAATACTACTTACATTTCAGATATGCTGTTACTTTCAAATGAACTGGCTTTTACTCTTTAACAAGTTGCATACCCATTATGAGATCTTAGCACCCAAATCCCCTCAATGTACAGTCTTACCGACCCACAGGTCTCTCTGCACTGACAACACTATTCTGACACAGCATCTATCATCATCCCAAATGATGTTTGACTGGAAACAGAAACAGGACTAGTCCAGGTGTGGGAACATAGTGATTCTCTAAATTCTAGTCCTGCAAGCCACATGCAAGATTCACTCAGTGCAGATGCTTTGTATCAAGACAACAAAGGTAAAGCACAGGCTCAGAGGGGCGTCTACTGAAGACACAGAAAGCAAGAACACATAAACAGTACAATAAAAGTCCATACAATGCAACTGGTTTTTTTCTCACATTAATCAGCCTTGAAGGCTGTAGAGCCTTTTATCTTGAAAAGGCCAGCTGCAGTACAGTGCACACTGTTTAACACATCAAGTTAAAAGCTACCCTCAGCAGTTTCAGAATTTGGAAACGCCAAACTCAAAAAAAACTTCCTTCAGCTGTTAAACCACTACTCCAAAGTATCTTAATGTGTTATGTCAAACAAGTGCAGCAGCTCTGAAGCAGTAATCATTTCAGAGAGGGCTCAGCATTTTGTACTTGAATCATCTTTACGTACCGTATTTAGCAGTAAGCGCAGATGTGCGGAACCAGACAATCCCCGTGTCGGCTGTCAAAGGGAATGCTACAAGCCTTTAGTCCCATGCTAAGATCATCTCGTCAGATCCACGTGGCTTCTACTGCCAGTTCAGGACCTTAGCCGTGGCTTCTAAAGCTACCTAGTGATTAAGATCCATCAGATACATTTCCTTCTCAGCCTAGGCAGTTCCTCCCGAGCAACACAGCCCAAAATAACCTCACTGCAGTACGCAAGAGCTAAAGATGAGCATTCCTGATGAAGACAGCATGGATGCAAAATTAATTTGGATACGCTGTACTCAGAAGGGACTCTTCATCTTTACTATGGTACAATGCTCTCATTAACCGCCAGAATATACCAGAGAACATACCATGTGGAGGAGGAAAACGTGTAACTCTGAAGCAGCACTGTGTGCAATTATGGAAGAATAATAAAACAATATATATGATTAAAAGTACTTCAGGGGTCTCCCTAAGCTATTTTTACACAGAAAGGCTTTAACCAAAAAGTAGTAAGAAGGGTTTGGGTGCTGTTTGATTTTGGGGTGGGTTGTTTGGTGGTTTGGGGTTTTTTTAATCCTCCTTCCTTCCTTCCCTCAAATCCTGGTTGGGAAAACATGCAGTAGGAAGCAAAAAAAAAGAAAATCAAGTTTTGCTGTTTCATATGAATGAGAAATACCTGACTGACTGCTGGTGGGAGAGAAAGAACCACTGAACAGCCAAAACTGCTGTAACTACTTAATGATTTCCCTTCCATCCCCACTCTCTGTACACAGGGATTTGTTGCAGTTACTTCACCAACAGGTTTGATGACTTGCCCAAAAACCTGTAACGACTCAGGGCTGGCTAGATGCAATTCTGCCAATTGGCAGTGTCACTTCCTGTCCCAAGCAAGAAATTCCTGAAGTGGACAAGAGCTAGGTGGAGTGTCAAAGCCCCTGGGACCCAGTTTCAAATGTGTGAACATAACAGCAGAGCCATCTCACTGCAGACAGTTATCTAAAAAAAAACCAAAACAAAAAAAAACACCACCAACCACCTCCCCAAAAAACACCTAAACCACAGTCTGACTAATGCAAAGGAAGCAGTAATCAGACCAAGGCATTCAAGTGCTTGTTGAAAGAAATGAAGTATAAAAAAGCCCAAAGAACTTAAAAAAAGATGCTGTCATGGTAATAACATACCAGAATCTGATTATTAGAAAGGCACATGGGGAATTTTTTGACAAGTCTACAGGAATAGCACAACAAGTTCCTACATGATTCACTAACAAATACATCTTTCTTTTCAAGGAAAAGTTTAGATTAAACTTCAGAAACAGTACATTTCACAAACCCAGAGAGCTGAAAAGAGCTGTTCTCAAAGTTATTGTTTTGTGTTTTGGGGGACAGGGGAGGAAAAGCACACTTGGATCTGTGCCAAGATGCAAGACCGAAATCTGATTAAGCCCGAGTTCAGACTATATCACAACTCTAAGATCACAAGCAGTATGAAGTAGGATTATAGATTTTACACAACACAGCATACTTAGAATTTCTTAATACCATGCTTAAACTTGAAAAGGAGTTGTAACTGGGTTTGTAAAACTCATTCAGACAACCAGAAGAGAATTGCTTGTCACAGCACTGTGCTGTAATCATATTACACCATCTGGTCATCTCTAACCTACACAGGCTTTAACACAAATGGGAAATGCAGTATCTTGTAACCCAGAAAACTTCCCCCACAGGTAGAGAGGACAGTGGAAAAGTAGTTTTTGAAGAGATGGTTTTTACCTGTCCTAAATATCACACTGTCTTGGAGAAAAGTTTTAAAAGTCAGTATTAAACAGAAACTGTCAGACAAACACTCCTTCTCCGTATATCTCAAATACTATTACAAGTTATGACATGTATAGGTTTCAACTTGTAAAACTGGGGGGAGGCACACTTAGCAGTTACTGAAAAGGCAATATAATTCCTTCTACTAAAATCATATCCCAATAGGAGCTGTGAATCTGCTTAAGGCTTTTACATTTGTCTAGTAATCCACAGATGCCGCACAGATGGCTTTTATCTGGGTGGACACAAAGACACATCAGTCTATGTAAATTTGGGATAGACTTCAGTCGTGACATTGTATGTTTACAAACGTATCTCTGACAATGTCATAAGACATGTACTTGTTTTAATTCATGTAATCACTGTGAGAGTCCATGCATTTCCTCCCTGGAGTTTTGACACTTACTCTCTCACTACAACTGTTTTAATAATACAGTTTACAGTTAGCACTAATATGCATATCATATCCAGTGACAACTGTATAGTTAAAGGAATTCCTTCCTCTAAAAGTT